TAATAATCTATTTCTTAATTTGGTGTTGCCAGTAGGAATGTTCATTTTATTTTTTCTTTAAACTGAACATAGATAACTCTATACACACTTTGTATGTGTGAAGTGATTCTCAATAAAAAGTTTAAATACAATTTTTCTAACTGCTGTTTTTAGGATTTAAAACATTTTCAGAAATTGAATTATCAAAATATATAAATTTTAAAGGAAATCCTATTTGGCACAGAAAATCAATATTTTAGTGTGAATTTTAAAGTTATATTTATAATAAACAATCTGTCTTATTTATATTAGTTTGGCATATATTCTGTATCCTTAAACTACTTTCAGAATATTTTAGAATGGAAAAGATGGATTGGGTTAAATGGATATATAATATAAACCATGTCATACCATTATTTTGTCACAAGAGGGACTAAACAGTCAAAAAGTACAGTGTTCCCTTTGGCCTTAAGAATATTTCTCTATCTTAATATCTATGTTTTACACACTGTGTATTCTTGTCAGTGTATGTATTATAGAGTATAGTACTCTATAATATGTATAATATCTTAGCAAAAATGTTAAGATAAATATTAGTTTGCCATTTTACATCTGAGTGGATATTGGCTGTACAGAATTTATTTAACTTACTGAGCTATGATCACTTTTTGGTTTGTCTACTTTATGGAAATGTTTACATTTTTCTATTAGTGCTAAAAACTTTAAGTACTGAGTGGATTTTTTCATATATATTTGCTCTATTTTTTCTTATTTGATTTCAATATAACTGTGAGCATTTGCAGCCTATCCAAAATTTGGTAAAATGAATCAAAGTAATTATGGATCAATTGCTAGAACAAAAGCATTCATGACATAGAGCTCTGTCCATTGACCAGTGGTTTTCAAACTCTGCTCTAAGAACCCTTTAAGTGTTCCTGAAAGCTCTTTCAGGGGCAACCATGTTTGGGGAAGGTGGGGTACTCCTTTACTGAGACAATTCTTCACTTAACTTTTTAGATATCGGTTTCTGTTATAAAGCTTTTATTTGTGGAAATAGTGAGCCACAAATACTCATAGTTTGAAAACCACTGGACTAGACTGGCTGGAAAGAATAGTAAAATCAGTTAAAATATTTTCAGGTGTGTTACTTCATAGCTTGTTTTAAGCAAAATGTGGCCTCTATTAGCTAATATATGTCATCTTGACCACTGTATCCTCAGTGCAAAGAACAAATTACATACAATTATGCATAAAACAATTAAATGTTACATAACAAATAAGTGTGTTAAAGAATGACCAGCTCCAGAAGAGAGGCAGAGCAGGTGTTATCTGAATTTTATTTAAAAGGAAAGGAGCTCAGAATGATAACAGACTTGCACACTATTAGAAGCAGAAGAATCATAGAAGGCGAATGTACCATCTCCTGGTTCCTAATACTTTTTTGGATAAAATCTGGGAGAAAGAGGGGAAGGAAAGAACAGGAAACAAGGGAATAAGGAAGGAAAAGGAGAGTTTATTTTACTTTCCACCATACCACAACCGCCCCTCGTTTACTTGGGCAGGGAAAGAAGAACTGCAGGAAAGAAAGAAAAATGTTATTTTCACTTATTTGACCATTTTTGAAAAAATACATTGGTAGTATGGACCAATAAATACTGTGTTTAAATTTATAATGATTTGTGAGACTATCATAGTTTGCTTTAAAAAAAGTAAAAAGGTTTTTTCTCATGATGCCACCCAGTCCACAGGAGCTTCGGGAGGTCAGCAACACACACGTGGCACCACTCTTTTTCCCAGGTGCCATTGCCTTCCTGTTCTCACCAGTCCTTTCAACATCTGGAAGGGGCTGGTTTCTTACTTCCCCTTTCCATTTGTCTGGGACTTCCCTGAGCCCTCTGCTCTACCCTGAGGTGGCCTCCAACTTACCCTCCCCTGGAGTTATGATGGTAGTAGTCAGTGAAGGAATTTTAAGAGGCAAAGAAATAAAAATCACCTTTTTTTTTCTTTTACTTATTAACCACCTTACACATAGCAGCCCTAAATCTTCAAGACAATGAATTTATTTTTATTGCTATGACCACAAACCTCTGGACTTAAACCAGCATAAATTTATTATCTTACAATTGTGTAGGTCAGAAGTCCAGTATATCTTCTCTTGTCATCATATATCATTCTAGAAAACTTTATTCAGCCTCCTTTTCAATTAGGGGCATTGATTGATTGCTAGCCAAAGGGTGGCCTCTAAAATTGCTCCTGCGTGCAGTTCTGCGCTTTGTTTTTGCTTGGTCTGCCAGCAGAATACAGAGGATGTCGAGAGGTCGGCAGGCTGCGCTCCTTCTTAGAGGTTCTAGGGGAGAATTTGTTTCCTGCTCATTCAAGTTGTTGGCAGGACTCAGTTTCTTTCCATTTCAGGACTGAGGTCCCCGTTTTCTTTTGAGAACTGATAGAGACCACATATTCCTTGATTCCTGACTCTTTTGTCTCTCTTCCAGGGCAGCAATGGTGGGTTCAGTCCTTCCCCGATAGCAGCTGATGCCCTCTTCTTCAGCCAACTTCCTCTTTTACGGACTCCTATGACTAGATTTGGGCCCCTGAAATAATTAGGATAATGTTTTTATCTCAAGGTCTTTATTAATATTCTCTGCAATGTCCCTTTTGCTACATAAAGTGACATATTTAAAGATTCTGTGGATTATGACATGGATATCCATCGGGGAAAGGGCATTATTCAGACTACCACAAGAAAAATAACTAAGAGTCTATAAATTTACTCATGTGAATAAAAGTAATAAAATATATAACACTTTTTTTGTTTACAGTCATTATTTATAATTACATTAGTAGAGCTAAAGCACAACTGATATGCATAGCTCCATTAATTTTAGGCTAATTTTACTGATGTTTCCCATTTGCTTATCAAGTTAAAAGATACAGTTAATTTAGTATCAAGACATCCAAAAGTGCAATCAATAGGTACCACTCAATAGAGTGTGTTTTTCAGAAATCTTAAAAAATAGAGGCAGAGTTATGGATAAGTTAAGGATAAGCACTAAATATTTTTTTTCCAGATTTCCCCCAATTAAGTAAGCTGGTGACTAAGAGACAGCCTTATAAGATCATACATACAACGCTATCTGCATTGGCTAGCAAAACTAAAGGCTAACCTAAGAAGTAAGATGCACATGAATCAGCAGAAAAGAAGACTGCATTAGGAAAAACAAAAATAAACATAAAATGGTCCTATTTTTATAATACCATTTGAAGGTAAACTCTATATCAGGTTCAATGCCTATTTTTATCAATGTTGTACACACAGCACTAAGTACAGTGCCTGGCATATAGAAAGCATTAAGTAATAATTATTACCTTCAAGTTAATTGCCTTAATTAGAATTAAGCAATGTTTGTAGAATTTTCTATGTGCAAGATACAGAAAAATAATGTTTCCATTGCTTTCTATACTTTTCAGAGCTTTTTAAATAAATTACTTACATAATGTCATGTGAAACATTGGTAAGGCCTGGTAGTTAAGGTAAAAACTTGACATCGAGAAAAACGAGATAATTTTTTCTGTACTATTTGCATTAAATCATTGCCAATTACTTAATTATAGTTTTTGAAAGCAAAGACTTATTTCTGACTTATTGATCCCAAGACAGCGACATGCACACACGCAAAGTCTTTATACATAGTAGGTGTATATTAAGTGATAATAGGAAAAAAATTGTAGATACTGTGGTTTTCATTCATTTTTAGTGTGCAAATTGTGTGGTATATATTGACAATGTAATGAAATTAGAAAAGAACTAAAGAAGCTGTTGAAAATGTTCTGAAACAAATCTTGTTTAACACTTTAAGCTTTTGAAAATTGACTAAGTTGTCTTCTGATTTGTCCTCCATCACTGAGATGTTCAAGTGATGAGCTGTATCATAGCTGGTCAAAACACTGAAGCTGAAATTCTGACATCTGGTGGAGGAATAACCTTTAAGACTGTTCAATTCCAAAAGTGTTTGATGCTGATATTGCTCTGTTCCTTGATCTGGGTACTTATTGCACTTGTAATCTGCATATGTCTAATATTGTTCACTTATAATATGTCCTCTTTTCTGCATGTCTATTATATCAATAAAAAGCCTAACAAATATACAAGTCAATTATCTTTAACTGAGACAAATCACTTATTTACATATGCTTCTTAGCTTCTCCCACCAGTCTCTATCTTCATTAAGAAGACTCAAAACTTCCCTTAGCTCTAAGCCAGCGAACATTATGCATTCAAAGTTCTGAGACCTTTCCTGTTAAAATTTTGATTTGATAGCACTAAATAATGGCAATAACAAATCAAATTAAATGTTTCTTCTTTGAAAAGAAATACTTTATAGTATATACAAGCTATAAGCCCTCCTGTAGGATTTTTTACACTTCATTTTAATAATAAAGTGTTTTTTCCCAAACAATGTTTGACACAGAGAATATATAACAAATAGAGCGTCACATACAAAGTTTGTCAAGGTGAAGTCTGAGTGAAGACATGAGAAGCACACATATTCCACATTCAGTCTTGGCACCAGCACCCTTTCCCCTCCCACCACCATCCTTCCCCAAAAGAACCATTCTGAGGCAGAAGTTGGGGAAAACCACTGACCTAGCGCAGTCTTCCTCAATTATCAGAAAATACACCAAAATCTGAAGAAGAAAAGAGACGTATCCAAAATAAACACAGCAGATTGGTATGCTGCTCAGAGCTGGCTTTTCATTTAGATGATTTGATTTTGGATGTTATTTGATTTCTCTAAGACTCAGGTTCTTAAAAGTAAAATGGATGTAGTAATACCTCCTTGGGCAGCAGATGTTGAAGGGATGAGAGACAGTGTGTGGCACATAGTGGGTGCTGATTGATAACTATTGTGGTTATTCCAACTCCTGAAGAAAGCCCCCAGATCTGCATGAAATAAAAGAGCCAATGTAACGATGGGTAACTTGGACTTTAGCTTAAAAATGTTCTCCTCCATTTGTTTCAGGAAAGCTGTAGATCACCCAAAGAGGCGATTTGGTACCCCTATGGATCGGATTGGCGGAAACCGGCTTTCAAATTCCAGAGGATAATTGATTCCAATCGTGAGTACAATTTGAATAAATAACAGTACATGTAGGCTTTTGATTAGCATTTCACAATGAGCTAATTGACCTATCTTGGATTAGAAATCCCCCTTTGATTTCCGAGCTTGCAAACTCACAGTTTTAAACATTTCTGGACTCAATTAGTGTATTAATGCTAAAAAATTTAAATGACATTAAAGAAGCAAAGGAATGCTCTAGATCTCCTTCACCCTAAAAAACAATTTAGTTGTTCTCACAGACTCCTATATGATTATTAAATATTGATATGCAAAAAAGGTTAAAATTCTAATTAACATAATAAATCACCTTCACAGATATATATAAACATGTAATAATCCATCTATTAAGAAGACACATATTAGTGGCATACATCGTTTGGTTGCCAATAACAACATTACCAAAATTATGATAACGTGGAACATAAAAAAGATAATGGTGAGCAGAGAGAGTACTCGCCATGGAATCAGAGCACCTAATCCAAATCCTGGTTCTGTCATTCCATTATTTTGTTTCCATCAAAATACCTATTTCTCTACAGCTTGTGCATTTAGGTAATAATATAGTGTTATTGTGGAGATTAAATTAGATGCTTGTATTAGTCCTAGAATGTTTTGGACACACAATACATACAAGTGATATTAGCTCATATTACAGTTGTGAAAATTTACTCTGTGCTGGACCCTATATATAGTGCTATATACGAAGGTCAGACAATTAAGTTTGCAAACTGATCCTAGAAAAAAGTGCTACATACCTCATTGCTGAATGTCACTACAGTCATCTTTGAAGTACTCCCCTTGGGAAGCTATGCACCAACGCCAGCGCCTAGTCCACCCTTCAAAGCAATTTTGGAACTCTTTTTCTGCAATGGCCATCAGAGCTGTCATTGTATTACCCTTGATGTCCTGATTGTCATCAAAATGTCTTCCTTTCAATATTTCCTTTCTCTTCAGGTAAAGAAAGAAGTCATTGGAGGCCAGATCAGGTGACTGATCCAATACAGTTCCAATACAGTTATTTATTTACTGGCTAAAGACTCCCTCACAGACAGTGCCATGTGAGCTGGTGCATTGTTGTGAAGCAAGAGCCATGAATTGTTGGTGAAAAGTTCAGGTCGTCTGACTTTTTCATATAGCCTTTTCAGCACTTCCAAATAGTAAACTTAGCTAACTGTTTGTTCAGTTGGTACAAATTCATAATGAATAATCCATCTGATATCAAAAAAGGTTAGCAACATCATGGCAACAAATTCATAAACTTAATTGTCAGACCTTGTATGCATTGCTTCATTTAATCATCCTGTTCTATAAAGTAGGTACTGTTACTATCTCCTATTATTGTTACTGTTTCCAATTACTATCACCTTTACCACCCTTGATTATCATCCTCCGCTCCCCCAAACAGATAAGACAAATTGAAACTACTTTGACCCCTTCAGGTCACAGAAGAGAAAACTCTGCTTTCCACTTTTCTCAAAATAATCCTCAGACCATGATGTAAAGGCCCAAGAAGCATCACATTACCCTGACCCTCTCCTAATTTATTTTAAATCATGCCATTTTTTCTCCTCATCAAATGCTCTGATCTGCAATGAGAAGTCAGTATTTCACCTCAATTTTATTTTTCTCTGGAGTCATTGATCAATGAAGTTATGAAGTTATTGTGTTTCCATAAGCACAGGAGGACTTACTGAGCACTGCCAAGAACACTGCCCTTAGAGCACCACTGTCTTCAAATCACATATTGAACTTTCTTTATATCTAGCAAATTACCAAGAATGGTCACTCTTCAGGGTTGTTAAAAAAAAATCACCATATTATATTTGAGTAAGAACTAATGGGTATTAAAAATCAAGCAACTCCTTGAAATGAGAAACACAATCCTCCCATTTCTTGATGTACTGAGAAAGTTATGACACTGAGATTAAAATAATTGTCTGATTGGTTTCCACATGCACCCTCTCACCTTTACCACCCTTGATTATCACCCCTTTTAGTGTATCTGAATTCGACCAAAATGGGTTATTGTAAGAAAATATATACAAGAAACTAATTTTTCATATAAATGTTTATGTGAAGTTTTAGGCTATACACAATTCCAGTTAGCTACTACACTATGAAAAAGAACTTGAATTAATATGATTACAGAATCACTGTTGGGTAAAATCCAAATTAGTATTCCATCCTTCATGTAACAGGCTTTGTTTAGTACCATGGCAATCACTGTCCTTATTGTTAAAATCAGATGGTAACATCGTGAAAAAATAAGTTTAGTAAAGAACTACCATCATATATTTTCTCTTTCCCTTTTGTCAATTATTGGGTTCACCTGCTCAACCATTATGTTTCTATTCTTTATTTCCTGCCACCATCACTAAGATTTCTCAGACATTTTTACTTCCTCATGTGAAGTTTCATGTGTTATAGTATATGAGTATTAAAAGCCATAAAAATATATTTCTGATTTGCATTCAAGTTTTCAATATTATTTTTGGTATATGATATTTTAGTGTCACAATGTTCCTGTAGATTAAGTAGATATAGTATGTATATCATTTAGATAAGAGCCATTAAGTAATGTTCACACAGTCATGCAACTAAGTCATTATAGGTTCAAGAGCATAAAGTGTCATTTAATTAAATCCTTTTGTTTAAAAAAACAAATGAGAATACAGGGGCCATAGAGGAAATTGATTTGGCCCAATTTTACAGACTCTCAGAGAAATATCTAGATCAGGTCCCTGTCCTTCTAGGTCCCTGTCCATTCTCTTTGTGACCCATAAGGCCTTCTGGGTGCTCAGCTGTCATTGCTATGCTAACATCACTGGTTATACATTTCTAGAACAAACCAAAGCAGTATCTCAGGTTTTATGAAAATCTTTTTTTCACTTCTGTTGGAGCAGATTTCTTTGTGGGTTTTCACCGTCTGGGTTTTACTATAAAAGTCTTCACGCTAAAAGTGAAACCAATACTAATCGTGGAAGTTTAGCTTGGTTTGAGGGTAAGCCTAAAACAGCTGATGTGTGTTATCTAGTTTCCAGAAAAAAAAAAATGCTCATCTCTTCCCTGATATATATTTTTGAAAGGGTGACAATTTGATATTTACACAACGTCCTTCTCAAATCACTAATATATTGGACTAGTGTTTTGTGTTAATAGGCCTCAGTTCTAAGCAACTCAAATTCAGAGAGGTATTTTGTATAGGTTTCATAGATTCTGTAGATGCAAGTAGCAAGTTCTAGGTCTCTGCCATTGAAATGAGGATGCCAACTTGATGAAATCTGATAGAAATATGACCATTAATTGTGCTACCCTTTGCTGCCATATGCATTAAGATTTTTCATAATGTGAGGCACATGCTCCTGTATTATACTGACAATTTTTATTTTAGAACAATATTGACATACTATCATTCAAATAAATTAACATAAATGTCAAATATCAGAAATATCATGTTTGAGTGCCCCTATATGGTTGGACCCTTTAAACAAGGCAAAATATACAATAAATATCAACATGTTATCATAACAATAAACAAAAAGTAGTAGTCAGATTTTTTCTTTTGTTTGTCATGGCAACATCCTTTGAACCAAGACTGAAATCTCAAAATAAATAGATTACAGCAGGTACCCAAAGAAACGGAGTGTGGCTTGAGCACAAGCACCTAACTTATACATTAAAAATGCTGTTTTTAATGCACTTTGATCAGAAATGATCATTTCACATATTGTCTATGCTATAAAAATATGCCACATAAATAAAAGCTATCCTGAAACATCCAGTAATTAGAGTTTTATCCCTTCTCAACTGAAGTTGGTGGATTTCCCCTCATCTACAAAGTTCTCCTTAGCTTTAACAATTTCAACTTTCATTTTTGCAGACGTGACTTCCTTGGGTGAAATGTCACAGAAACACGGAAGATGCTTCAGTGAAGTTCTTCACACTCCTTAATGATTAAACTTTTAAGGAACTGGCCTTCTGCAAATCTTTTCAAAGCTTGAACTTAGGTCTATCACATCACAGTATTGTTACAGTGTCAAGTAAATCGTGAAGATCATTTCAGTGCGTGAATACTTTTTAAATAAATAGTTTAGTCATTTAGGAATGAATGGTTCCTTGGCCCCAAGCCTTACTTTTCTAAGAAACAATCGAAAAACACAACATAGTGAAATGCCTTCTGTATGCATTTAGCATATGCATTTATGCAATTGAAGAATAACTGAAGACTGACTCATTTCTGTTAAACTTAGTTACAATCTGTTCATTATTGGGGAACAAGGAAGACAATGCTGTGTGTTTTCTCCTGAATGCTTTCACTTCTCCCTTATCCTTTGTGGGACCCTTGGGTAATGAATGTGAAATTAGACTTCTCTTATAATATTCAAATTTTGGTCAATTTCAACCAAATAAAACACAGCCCCAGTTTTAGAAATAACAGGAAAAAAAAGATCTCTGAGCAAGGAAAAAGAATAATTAAGTCTATAAATTTTAGTCTTCCAAAGAATTAAGAAAATACCAGCAGGTCAGAGCATACTGACTTAGAATTAAGAAGTGAAAGATACTACTCATTTGTCAAGCTTGGATATCCCATGTTCCCTAATAATTTTCTATTTCTCTAAGTTACAACTGATAGTTAAGAGCAGCACTGGCTGGTTATGAGAACGACTATACACAGAAGTTAACAGATAAAAGTACAGAGAAAAAAAAATCATCAAGTAAAGCACCACAGCAGCCTGGGCCAGTTAAATATGCATAATTTTAGCACAGTAAATTTTAACATAGTACAATAAGCAATCTTTTCGATAGTACTGTTGCACCTAAGAAACTGTTGAATCTGTTTCATATACTGTGTTTAATGAGGCATTAAAGAATATAATGTGTTGCAGAATGATTTCTTTAAAATGATTCAAATTATTTTTGGTTGATCTATCAAAGCATAAGGTTTGATATTCTGGAAAGCTCAGTTCTTATTAATAATTGTGATGTTACTGTAATTGAAGCATTGTGCATTCGATATGGATTCAAAACACAAAGATAACTTATTCCTTGGACCAGAAATTTAACATAAGTTAGAAGAAGTTTATAAATCCTCTGGGAAACATTTCTTTAAACTCTGCTAATCCCTGTCAAACAGATCTGATTGGTGGGAGGAAAAACATTTGGCCTGGAGAGCAGTTTTATTTTAGCATAAAAATGAAGAGAGTTATAAGAAGGTATATTCATATTAGAAGAATAGGAGAGAAATGGGGAGTTGATAATCTTAACTAAAAATGAATAAGCGTACAATTCAAGGAATAAAACAAACTCAGAGAAACTTAGAAATGAACATATATATACTCAGAATACAGAGCAGTGTTATATATATAAGTTCTTAGTTTGGGTAAAAATTTTCCAACTGCTGAAAATATTTAAATTTAAGTTCAGGAAAAAACAATAAATGAATGATTCTTTTTGTTGTGATACAGGAGCTATAGCAAAGAGAAATGAATTTTGTGAAAGCTCGCCAATTCTGTTTTTTATCAACTTACATTAGAAAGTTAGCAGTCGTACATGGGGAAAGATGCTCACTATTTGAAAGAATTATTTAAGAAGAAGTTATAATCTCTTTTGCACGTCTTCCCCTAACCTTCTGATGACTGATAGAAATGTGTCCTATTCCTTGGAAGCGCCTTTTTCCTGTTTCTCCCATTTGAATATTTGTCAGCTTCTAATCCAACAGGGGCCTGCTGCTTCACACTTTGACAAAAGGTATTTAAACCTACTTTAGCCTAAAACTTTCTCATGATAAAGATTTCAGTTGGATTGAACAAATTGATTTCCTATCTGCTTTATTTTTTTAAATTCAAAATTATGCTTATGGCATCCAATTTAATTAAAGAGGTCGCACTATATTGATTTAGACTCTATTCTAATGTGTAATGCATTTGTCTCATAATATAATATATACACAAGACATATGAAGAAAAGAAGGGTTTTCTCCACTTGTAACTATTTTATTTCATATTTTAATTTTTACCACTTTACCCAGAGTAGAAAATAAGTCAGCAGTGTACTAGTTTAAACTAGGGCATTCTTTTAACATAGCAGGAAATTAAGATATAATTTCTATTAAGAATATAACGAGTCATCTCATTTATTTGTCCAATGTACTGTATATTATGAATCCATCTATATTTCATTGAGAAGTCACCAACTTGAAGGGACCTTTCATTTAGTTTCAAAGAAATGCATCACTTCCGCCCACCCTTTGTTCCTGTGTGAAGCATCACAGATCAAACAGTGAATAGAGATTTCTGGGTTCTGGCATCAATTACATAACCACTTTTTTAAAGACAGGATGTTAATTCCTGTCTACATTGTCTTAAGATTTACTAACACTATTAAAAGTCTAGCAAACTCTACCTGCAATCTACAGATTGTTTTAGGGAATTAAATTTCTTAAAGCGATTTATTAAAAGATAACTTAATGAGCTCTTCTAAAAGGAAGAAGTGTCAAAAGTGACATTACCCCTACAGGCTCAAAATGCTATATATTTTTTTAACCTGACACCCACCTGTGAAAGTGGGGCCCCGGAGGCATTTATTTAAAATACAGCATCAAACACACAATGTCTACGGCCAGGACTTGTGGTTACAGTGAAAACAGCATCCCTAGATCAAAATGCTTGAATATTGTTCAGCTGCTCCAAAGTTAATAAACATGAGGTGATGAAAGCAAAAGTTTTTGTCTTTCTTTATGATACTGTTATGTTTGTGTTTTCAAGTGGTATAAATACATGGGAATGTTCAGGTGCTATTAAGCAACTATGCTTATGTACATTTGAGTGGCTCCTAACAAGTATGTGTGTGCATGTAAGTGTGTGTATATATATATATGTATGGCACGCCAAGCATATTACTCTGTTGTATGCGTGTTTTTTCATTTTAAGCAGTTCATTTTATCTTATGAGATCATTTTATCTTTAGGCACCACACAATTAATATCATGTAGATAAAATGCATTTCCCCAGATTGTGAAGTAAGGGAACGTGTAGAGGCTCATCTGGCCAGCTATTCTTGTCATTAATATTCTTTATTTATAAAGTGACTTTGACAATGCTTCTGTGCCAGCAAAGGTGACAGACAACATTGAAGTGGCATATCCAGCCTTGAATTGATGAAATAAGCCTGTTCAGATATACGCAAGAGCAGTTTGATGTACAGATGCGGTGGTGGTGGTGGTGGTGGGGGAACAATCGAGGAAAAGGCAGTGAGTTTTTGTTCTGTTTTGTTTGTTGGTTTTTAGCACACTGAGTCTAGTCTCTTACAGACATGCTGGGAGTCTCAAATAGCTTCTGAGGTTGTGGAGGAGGCAGAGATGAGAATGATGGAACCAAAAGGTGAATTGTTCTGTAAGAGAGTTTTCTTACTACCTATGTCTGAGACATCTACTACTACTTTCTCCAGAGTCCAATAAATGATATATTGGGTTGTTGGAAAAGCCATGATGTATTTTTTCTATGTTTTCTGTTGCAAAAATGCGTCATGACTTTTCCGACAACCCAATATTTCTGCTCCCTAGTAATGTATTCATTTATTTGTAATTGTTTCAGTGATAATTATCCAAATTCACAGAAAAGAGATAATAGCCAACTGCATTATAAAAAGAATGATGCATATTTTCCACATAATTTGAGACAGCATAATTTATTTTAATTTTTCAAGATGCTTTTTAAAATATTTTAATTGATAGCTTAATAGCATAGTCATCGTATATGACTATATGTAGACAATGAATTTCTGGAAAGCATACAATAGATACGGCCCTCTCAACTTCAGCTCTGCAAAGCCATTTTGATAGTCACATGCCATTCAAAATGCAACTAATTTATCAGTATTCACAACAATAGGCAAAATAAACACCACCGTTTCTTTATGCTTGAAATAGACACAATCTTTAAGAAGTAGAGTGAGGAGATGTATGTGTTTTCCTAATGTTCTTATCTTTTCTGCATCCAGAGAAAAAACTTTAGACACAGTATTTCCAAAAGCAAGCTGAAAAAGAAAATAAAACAAATTCTTTATTAAGATTCATGATAAAATGTTAGATTTTAATAAAATACTTTGTGTTTTTGCACACCAAAAAGGAACAGTTCAGAAATACAAAGTCTTGAACTGTTGAAAACGCTAACTGCTTCTAGACCCAAAACACTATAAAAGGGGATTTTAAATGATTCTAAGTGACAGAGGCTTGGTAAATATCAGTTGAAATAAAGAACTGAGGGCAAAAATCAGATTAAGTATGTAGCCTTTAAGGTATGTCCTAGACACCTTCAAAGTAACTGCTACTAAGTTGGAAGTGAGAATGCAAAATAGATAAAATTTACTTTTAAAAAAATCTTTGTGTATAGTAAGTAGCTGAGAAGCTCTCTCAATTTTAGAAATTACATCATTGCCAAAGAAACCCTAGATAAACTATGCCTTTGACACTTTGAGACAAAATAAACCTTGGGCCTCCAACTTTGCAAGAGTAATATGAGACCTGAGAAAACTGTTCAATCCTCAGGAAGGAAGTATTAGCCATGTACCACATACGCTGTGTCCAGGAATAATAAAAAAGGAAAAACCTCAGAAAAGGTGAAGCTGGTGGAAACAATACAATGGGTGAAGGACTCCCTAGACACTAGCGGCCAAATCTAGAAAACTTCCTCCGTCTCCAGGGTAGGAGACCTTTACAATGTCTGCCCCGTGGGACTTCAGGACTGCTGGAGGCCAGCCTTCTAGATATTGTGTGTCTCTTGTTTTTTCCATTTAGGAATAGGATTATTGATTGTGGTTTTCCTGCCTCTTTTACTCTGCCAATTATTAGATTTGTGCAGGGTGAATAACTTGTCCTTTTAGCAGTGAGGTCTGTGAATGGAAAGGAGTCACATTATACCTGATGAAGACTAGTTGGTATCTTGCATAGCCCATTCTTCGTTCTGAGTGCAGTCAGTAAAAGGGATTTAGAATTGCCTCTAATGGGGAATGGCTTGAGTAGAGTTTATGTGTTTAAGAAGCAATCAAAGGATTGACTGTGGTAGACGGAGTGCTCCCCAAGTATTAATGTTATCCATACTTCTTAACATTTAAATGTCTAGCCTGTCTTGCCAATATTTGGTGGCAGCCCAAGTGATTAATTCTGCCCAAAGGACTTCAATAGAAGTGATGCCTGTTACTTGCAAACTGAAGCGTTGAGAGCTGAGATATTTCCTCTATCCCTCTCCTCTGTCGTGGCAATCTTAGAGGCAGGCAAAATATAGCAAATTATAGCAAATTATAGATGATGTAGCCACAAAATATAAGAATGTTATACTATGTGCATTGGACTTTATGTTTGGACTTTATTTTATAGAAGGCCTCTGAGATCTGGATTAAAATTGGTAACACATCATAGCCTAGGCTACGCTGACTATGGAAAGGTCCAACATATCTTTATTCTAACCCTCCTCTTCCACGAAACTTTTTTCCCTTCCACTATCCCAGGCTCCATAATGAGAAATCGCCCTTTTTTCTTAGTTGCTCAGAACAAAAACCTTGGGAGTCATTTTTGAAAACTGCCTATTGTTTTTTTCACTGTATGTAATACTAAAGAACATTGTGTTGACTTTTTGTTCAAAAATATATCCAGAATCAGACCCCCACTTATCAATTCTTATCAATTCGCTATTGCCACTCTAACCCAAGCTACCACAATTTACCATCTGGATTATTAAAGCAGCCTCATTAAAGGTCTCTCTACTTCTATCTTTGTCCCTTTTTTATGCAGTGTATTCTACACAAAACATCAAGAATGATTCTATTAAAACTTATTTCATATTACTCACTTGCTCAGAACTTTCCAATAATGTCCCATATGATGCCCAGTAAAAGCTAGTCCTTACAAATCCTGAAGGCTCTCTCCCTTCCACCTCCCAGATCATCTTCCATTATTTTTCTTCAAGCTCACTAGCTCAGTCAATTAGCAGTTGGGTTATTTTCAGCATATAATTTCACCCCTCTAAGATGTAATTTTCTCATCTATAAAATAGGTCTAGTAATATTATCTTATGGTGTTTATGATGAGAATAAAGTAATAATTAAAGTAATAATGATCAAAACGATAAAACAAAAAAGTTAAGCTTATGGGCTGCCGTGAGTCGCCGGCGACAGCGTAGGCTGCAGCCCCTGTGGCAGTGGGTTGCCATGGGCTACCGTGTGTAGCCAGCAGCCAGTGTGAG